TTCATAGCGGTCCAAACGGTCGTAGCAGCACCTTTTTCTCCGAAAGTCGAATCTTTTGCGGTAATGCGTTTCTGCGCTTTCGTGGCGAGTATCTCGTCAGCCACGTGTCGTTTAGCGAGGTCGTTGCTATGCGAATAAGCTATGTCGTGCTCGCGACCAGCGACACGCCTCGTCCAGCGGGTTAATGACCTGATCATCTCTGGCCAATCGCCCTTCTAAATGTGTTCCCGAACCGCAAAACTGATATCCAGGGATATGCAGTTCGAAAGGAAGTGCGTTTATCGTGCGTTTATCTTTAACAAGCCACGACCTTTCGCCGACATTCGCTGCAATCCTTTATCAATGGTGCAGGACCGTCGATGTGCGTTTGATGACACTGCAAATTATATTGTTTTAGGCTAAGTACGATTTTGCTGAACTTCTGAATCAGATTTTATATGTTTGGGAAACCTGCTCCACAATTGATCAATACAATTGTAAAACTCTCGCAACAGAACAACTTTTGGTGTGTACTCTAACTCTTCGGCAGTTAAATTGAATATATCGCGGTTATCCGATACGATGAGAAACATTTTGACTACTGATCTATTTCAATCTACGCGCCTCTATAAATAGGTCCGCTCTCTTTATTGTTTTTTCAGTTTTTTGATGCTGGAAGGAAGGAAACATGCAGTTCGTGCGGCAGTCGCAGACGATTAAAGTTATGAATTTTGACAACAAGATACAGCTAATACCTGAGAAACATGCTACCGACTTCTATACGCGGTATTATATGCGGTCCGTCAAACTGCGGCAAGACAAACGTATTGATAAGCTTGCTGGAAAGTCCGCACGGCGTACGCTTTGAGAATGTGTACATATACTCGAAATCATTGCAACAACCGAAATATCAATACTTGGAGAGTATACTGTCACCGATAGAAGAAATTGGTTATTTTACATTTTCCAATAACAGCGACGTCGTTCCACCGAACGAGGCGCTTCCAAATTCCATTTTTGTTTTTGATGACGTGGCATGCGACAAGCAAGA